ATAAATGTCTTTTGCCTCCTAGTTCTTTCCTCTATTTCTTTTTACTTTCCTCCTGTCCCACTATCATATTAGATTTCCATTCAACTCTCAGTACTTTCTCTTGGCTACACAGCTCTTGATCAAATCCCATCAGGCATTCTACGCCCTCCTCGTCGATTTTAGATCTCTTGTTGTTCCCTTGTCCCTGGGTTTGTTGATTCCACCCTCCCTTTCTCCTCCCACTCCTCTCCCATGTCAACCCAGAGATGTTGGCCCCATTGTTTTCTCCTCAGGATTGATTATGCTGCCTATAGTATATGGACAGACATGAGAAAAGGGGCAGGGGTAGGGGGGGAGGCGGGGGGAAGCCTATAACTAGTTCCAGGTGTCTGCTGACCCTTCTGAATGTTTTCCAATAGGATCTGGTGAAGTGCCACGCCCTGCCCACTGATTCCAAAGTCTATTTTCAGGGTTCCTCAGGTACTTGATTGCTTTGTTCCCCTTGTTATTCTGCTGTACTCCATCCCTGTTTTGCTCTGGTGGGGGCGGGAGGGGGGTGTGGAGTCAGACCGGGCACAATTCCCACACTGTGTCTCCAATGCTGTCCCCCGTAGCACTGTGGGCCAGAGAGGGGGCGTTGTGTCTTCTTGTGGTTGGGTCAGCCCCATGATCCTCTACGAAAAGGGCGTGTGCCTCCCTGTCAGGGAATCGAACCCTGGTCTCCAGCATGACAGGTGAGGATACTCACCACTATACTAACAAGGACGGCAGAAAGAGGATCTTTATAAACTTTACAAAGTTAAATCCTGCGGCTGAAACCCGGGATTGAACCAAGGACCTTTATATCTTCAGTCTAACGCTCTCCCAACTGAGCTATTTTAGCTGCTTCTATCACACATTTTTTGAAAAGAATGTACTCCAATTAGACACCATCTCTTTTGGGTACTAGGAGAGGAGAAGGAAGCTAGTGTCCTGACATGAAAACCAGACAAAGACCATGTGAGAAAAAGAAAACTGTGGACCCACAGCTCTCATGAACGCACATGCAAGAAGATTTCACTATTAGCCATCAAAATCAAATCACACAGTACAGTAAAAAGAATTAGACACTACGACCAAGTGGACCTTATTCCACAGGGGCAAGACCAATTTCAAAAATTCCGTAATATAACCCACAGTATTAATAGGCCAACAAAGAGAAATCACATCATTTCATATGGAAAATTCCTTTGAGAAGATTCAACACCCAATTATGATTTTTAAAGTAATTTAAAAAAACACACTTCTTAGCAAAATGGGGATAGAGGGAACCCTTCCACAACTAGAAAAGGAGCATTTACAAAATGTCTACAGCTAACAGCACACTTAAGAAGAAAAGAGTGTTTTTCCTCTAAAACTGAGAGCAAGACAAAGATGTCGTTTCACTAATGCTACTTGAATCTACCACACTGGGCGCTTATTAAACTGGTCAGTGTAGTAAGGCAAGAGAAAGGGGGTGGGGGGTATACTGATAGGAAAGGAAGAAGGAAAACTGCTCCTGTTTTCAGGTGACGGGATTGTCTAGAGATGATACCAACGTGGAAGGTCT